GTGAAATTTTGAATTGCAACAAATCTTAAAAAGTCTTAACAAATTTTAATTTCAAATAAGTTAAATATCTCATGATTTTATAAAACTTTCTAAAATCTTACATAAATACCTCAAACTTTTAATAGTCTTGATAAGTTTAAAGTAAATACACCTGAATTTCTAAAGTCTTTAGCAGTCTTTAGAAATCTCGATTGAATGCACTCCCTTAAGTTACTTAGCACTTTCGCATGTTTCGTAATCTTATATGACAAAATATTATGCTTTGTAACATGACCCAGATAAAAATTAATAATTATTTATACCAAATAGCTTATGTATTGCCATATACATATATTTAATAATTTAAAACTATTCCACATAAATCTATTTATTATCTTTCTATAATATACGTATTATTATCTTAGTTTTCAAATTTTGTGCTCTGTCCGTATTATTCTCTTATGTGTTTTAAATAAAAATATCATAAATAAAACTAACGATGCATATAAATTCACAATTTAAAATAAAATTGTTATTCACTTAGTTATTTATTATAAATTGTCATATATTGTTCCTTATTATTTTTTTCAACTTGTTTGATACCGGATAAAGCAAATCTTGGTTTTCGTTTTTCTTGTGATGGACCTGGAAGAGGTGGTACATGCCAAGTATCGGCTTGGCCTCCCTTCTGTAGCAATAGGCTCCACCTTCAAAGCATAGTCACCTTATATTGACCAAGAAAAACAAGTTCCAGAGGTCAGTTATGAACTGTCTTCTTGGCCGCTCTTTACACTGTCCCACCTTTTTGTGGTGTGCGGAGAAGATCTATTCATGGGATGCTATCCCCTGCCTGAACCAACCGTGAAGCATTCTTTATAGAGAAAACAAGATGCAACAAAATATATAAACATTTTTTTCTTTCATTTTTTTGTTGTACATTTAATTTTTTATCACACACTCGTGTAGTACACGATATTGTACTAGTTATAGTTATAAAACATACAACTTGGTCTAACATAGATTGTCTCAAATGTGTAAGATGAAGAGCAAGATACAAAAGACGTAAAGAGAACCAGAGTGAAGATGAAAGAACTATAAAGTAGTTACTAATTCGCATGAGCTCTTTGTTATTGAACAATGATTCGAATTAATTGTCATGCAAGTCTTTCAATTATTGAAAAACTTGAACAATAAAATAAATCAATTATTTACGAAATATGTGCATCTTCATCTGGTATTTTAAAAATTGCGTCAAACCTCATTGCATTATTGGGGGTATGGCACAATTTTTAAATACAGGGAGATAACGCGCACATTTAGTATAATACTGGGAGATTGGATTCATTAAACTCAATTAATCCTAAGAGAAACAGATCCAAAGTATAGGATCAAGATCTTATGGGTTGTGATTTTTCGACTCTGAGATGACTTACACGGTCTATGGAGCGAACGAACGGAACTTCCGTCGACCTTGAATTTTTTTGTTGTATTCCTTCAAGTCATGTCATCTCTCTCTCTCTCTCTCTCTCTCTCTCTCTCTCTCTCTCTCTCTCTCTCTCTCTCTCTCTCTCTCTCTCTCTCTCTGTATGAGGGTGGCGTGTATTTTACTGTGTATAGGTTAAGAATGAGACCCCCACATGATGTGTTTCTAGGCTACAAAATAGAGACGTAGTGAGATTAGGATTATATCTCCTAGTAGGAAAAGGAAATACTTGGGTTATGAACCACCCTATTACTAAGACTATTATTAATAAGTCAATCCACTACAGATTCATTATTGCACTAACTTTTCCAAACCCAAATTACTCAGGCTCCACTACACTCGATTTATCTCCACGTGTCTAAGATATAGAATGCTCGTTAATTAATTAAATTAACATCTTGGGTTTTCTGAAACTACTACCACTCAACCTTATTATTACGTTGGAACATAATCCACATGTAGGGTTTAGCAATAATAATCCTTTTGAGCTTATATTGGGGACGTCAACGTAGCGCACCAGGACACAGTGACCAAACATAATCAACAACACACCATAATGAATAAGTCTCACCTTTAGATGAGTTAAGTAAATAATTACTAATCACATGTGCCTGTTATTATCATCCGGGTTTAAAGTACGAGTGATATCACGAGATCTAGTTTATTTATTGGGTCAGTATAAAATAAATTCTCCTCCGTGGTCCAACTCATTACACACAAAGTGTACTAATATAATTATTTAGTCAAGACAAACTAATCTCAAAATTATACCATAATCATACTCATATGTTTGTTCATTACTATATCGGTTATGAACATTATTTATAATGTACAATGAACCGATAATAGAATCTTTTGTGTGGCGTTGTCACACTATATTATTTTCAATGTCAATAACATGACAAGTTGCAAATTCGTACATAAAGTAAAACGCAAACACATTGACCAAACATGATTCTTTTATTCAAAATGGAAATAACTTCAAATGAAGCATATACAATCTATCATTTTTTGTGTCATACATAGAGGCATTTTGCTCATTAGAAATAATGTAAAGGTGCTGTAAGACGTAAGGGTACAGTTATGCAAGCAGTTAGATATAAAGGCTTTGGAGAATCGTCGCATATTTTCAAGATCAAGGATCACAAGACATGTTGTGCTCATCTAATGCTTTGTGTGTAGTTACTGCCACAAGGCTCATTTTTGCATCCATAACTCCAATAAGATTCTTTAACCTTTCCAATATAGAGTTCCCATATCTAATGAGATATTAGGATATAGAGGCAGATCCTTATAGTTGGCAATAGGAAGCCTAATATTTAAATCCTCCCTATATATAATTCTCGAATGCGCTGAACCTACATGGCTGTTTCTGGTGCTTCGGAATCCTATTTGGCGAAGAATCATGCATCGTAATTAGGTTTGGATAAATAATATTGATATATTAATAATTAATAATCTAGGTTCGGGTATTCCATAAATATTATTTAACTAACTTAGGTATTTTAATATCTCTTTTACTAATATAACCCTTTAATTCTTTGTAATTTTACATAGTGGGGGCACTAAGTGACTAATATATCCTTGAATTTTGATATAATTCCCGAATGCGCTGAACCTACATGGCTGTTTCTGGTGCTTCAGAATCCTATTTGGCGAAGAATCATGCATCGTAATTAGGTTTGGATAAATAATATTGATATATTAATAATTAATAATCTAGGTTCGGGTATTCCATAAATATTATTTAACTAACTTAGGTATTTTAATATCTCTTTTACTAATATAACCCTTTAATTCTTTATAATTTTACATAGTGGGGCACTAAGTGACTAATATATCCTTGAATTTTGATTTGTTTCCTTCAATAAGCTATTGAATTATAAATGTATTTTAAAAGTTGATAACTTTTGTATTTCTTATCGGTTTTACATATATAATGTATCAACTTAATCATCTTTTGATGATCTTCGATTTGACATCCATATTGTATATATGAAATAAATAAATTATATTTATCTTTATAATAATAAAAAATAATAATATTTATTAAAATTCATTAGAAAATAAAATTATTTCTCAATTGATATATTTATATGTAATGTAGTTATATATTGTAAGTTAAAAAATTAGTATAATATAACACAAGTAAGTTGCACAAATAAAAGGTGTCATAATAAATATATAATAATATATATATTCTTATAAAAGGTATTTAAATTTTCATACTAATTTTTCTCATTAATTTTAGATTTGAAGAAAAAAATTAGCAAGCACCCGTGTAATACACGGGTGTTGTACTAGTAATATATATGAGGCAGGATATGTACCTTGTCACGGGCATAGCTAGTATATATCAAAGTAACCCTGGACATATGCATTGATTTGTGGTCAAACATATTATTAAGTATAAAGAACTAAGGATAATATGTTGGCTTACCAGGAAAACGGAATGTAGATTATGGGTTACATAAATTCCGTTTTCGAATCAGACGTGAACGTATAAAAAATACAACGAAATAACTATTTTATTTTATATTTGTCTAAATATTTTTTTAATTTTATTAGATAATATATAGTTTTGTTTGTATTTTTATTTGATTTGATAAATACTTTTAAATTCCATTATATAGATAGATGAGTTGATTTTAAACTTTTACATGTGATATGAATATCAAAATTGTTAAAAAGTGATTAATTTGATATATCATATATGAAGGTAATATAAATAGAAAAAAAAAAAAAAAAAAGCTTTTCAACTTTTAATATGTAATAAAAAAATAAACTTATGGTATTAAACAAATAAAAAATAATAATATTATTGTAGGATTTGAATTTGAGAAAATATTTGTTTGAAAAAAATACATACTTGTCAAAAAAAAA